AAACTATCAAATTATTCTTGGGATTATCTATTAAAAGGAAAACTTCTTTCCTTGTTCAGGGTGGTTTGTCTTTTGAGGAAGTGGCCGTGTATTTCTCCAAGGAGGAGTGGTCTCAACTGGACACTGACCAAAAAGCACTCCATGGAGAAGTCATGCTGGAAAATTCCAGGAATCTGGCTTCTCTAGGTAAGAATCCCTATCTGTGCTCAGAAACAGAGAAAAGTCATGCGGTCCGAGAGGAGGGTTTATATGTTATTAAAAAATAGTTTAAGTGAAATAAGTGATTTAAAGAAATCATTTATTTATATCCTGCCTTTATATTTTGTAAATAATAAAGGTAGTGGACAAACCCAATATTCCTCCCTCCTGCTGTTTTCCCTACAACAAGAACCTTGTGACGTAGGTTGAGCTGAGAGAGACTGGCCCAAAGTCACCCAGCCAGCATTCACCCTAAGGCTGAACTACTCATTGACCTAGTTTCTAGCCTGGTGTCTTAAGTGTTTGACCAAACTGACTTTATGGAAGAAAGAAATTTATTGAAAGAAGACTTGGAAAACTGCATAGCCTCTCTTTTTACATAAAGGAAATGGTTTTTTTTTTTTAATGCTTTCTGCTCATAAAATACAAAATATTCATTTTCATGCGACAGAAGATATTACTAAGAATCTGAGGGATAGGCTGCACATAGGGATGGTGTGGGCCTCTTGAGCAAGGTCCTGCCTATTCCTAAATCTCATCTCTACGTCCCCGATGGTCCTGTGCTGCTAAAACAAAACTATATGGGTCCTGAGTGGGATGTCTCTTCTCTGAGATGTGCCCACTTGTGTACTAATTGAGGGTGGGGAGCTATTGCCATCCAGAAATTCCCCTTGGCTTTGAAAGATTCTGCTCTGCAGACAAGTGGGGATGAGACTTTCAATGAAGTTCAGGAGCTGGTAGGTATGTTGTTGACCCAGCATGATACTGTGTCCAATGGACTTCAGGAGTTTGTGGCACCATGGAATAGTCCCAGGTCAGAGATTATATCAGGGTTGTGTCTTAGATTCATTGTGATGTGACCCAATCATGTTATATGAGGATCAGTAGGGATACACTTGGAAATGGGTTCTTGCTAAAATCTTAATTTGGAATCTTCATGTTTCCCACCACAGCAGCCAAGGTATATTGATGATTCTTTGGCTAAATTTCAGAAGAAAAGGTTTGATTGTTCTCCTATTCTTGCTACAATTTATTTTTTCTTTTTTAAGGCTATAATGGCCAGGAGAATAAGAATTGCAAGGAGAAATGCCAAGCGAGTCATTCGAAAGAGGGGAAAGGGAAACGATATCAATGCATGGAGTGTGGAAAGGCCTTTACTCATAGCAGTAGTCTCCATTCCCATAAGAGGATCCACCGAGGAGAGAAGCCATATCAATGCATGGAGTGTGGAAAGACCTTTAGTAGGAAAAACGTTCTGATTCAGCATAAAACTATCCATACAAATGAGAAGTTATATCAATGCATGGAATGTGGAAAGTCCTTCTCTTATAATAGCTCTTTCATAATCCATCAAAGGAATCACAAAGGAGAAAGACCTTATAAATGCATGGAGTGTGGAAAGACCTTTACTTGCAGTAGTAGTCTCAATTCCCATATGAGGATCCACAGAGGAGAGAAACCATATCAATGCATGGAGTGTGGAAAGAACTTTATTTCTAGTGGTTGTCTTAATTCCCATAAAAGGATCCACACCGGAGACAAGCCATATCTATGCAAGGAATGTGGAAAGACCTTCTCTTATTATAGCTCTCTTATAATACATCATAGGAATCACAAAGGGGAAAGACCATATCAATGCATGGAGTGTGGAAAGGGTTTTAGCAGTAGTAGTCATCTTAACTCCCATAAAAGAATCCACACAGGAGAGAAACCGTATCAATGCATGGAGTGTGGAAAGACCTTCTGTTATTCTAAGTCTTTTATAAGGCATCAAATGAATCACAAAGGAGAAAGACCTTATAAATGTATGGTGTGTGAAAAGAGCTTTACTTGTACCAGTCATCTTAACACTCATAAGATGACCCACATAATAGAAAAGCCATATCGTTGTGTGGAGTGTGGAAAGACCTTCTGTTACAATCATTCTCTTATACTCCATCAAAGGATTCACAAAGGGGAAAAACCATATCAATGCATGGAGTGTGGAAAAAACTTTACTTGCAGTAGCAATCTCAATTCACATAAGAGGATGCACACAGAAGAGAAACCATATCAATGTAAGGACTGTGGAAAGATCCTTACTTCTACCAGTAGTCTTAATTCCCACAAGAAGACCCACACAGGAGAGAAGCCATATCAATGCATGGAATGTGGAAAAAGCTTTAGTAGGAAATACGCTCTGATTCACCATAAAACTATCCATACAGAGGAGAAGCCATATCAATGCATGGAATGTGGAAAAACCTTCTGTTATTATGACTCTCTCTTAAGACATCAAAGGAATCACAAAGGAGAAAGACCTTATCAATGCATGGAGTGTGGAAAGAGCTTTAGTTGCAGCAGACATCTTGATTCCCACAAGAAGACCCACTCAGGAGAAAAGCCATATAAATGTGTTGAATGTGGAAAAGGCTTTAGGTGGAATTCTGCTCTTACCACCCATAAAAGGATCCATACAGGAGAAAGACCGTATCAATGCATGGAGTGTGGAAAGACCTTTACTAGTAGCAGTAGTTGTAATTCCCACAAAAGGATCCACACAGGCGAGAAGCCATATAAATGTGTGCACTGTGGAGAAGGCTTTAGACGGAGTTGTGATCTCATTTTGCATAAAAGGATCCATATGGGAGAAAAAACCATATAATTGCATGAAGTGTGGGAAGAGCTTTGCAAGGAGTAACACTCTCACTTGCCATAGAAGGATCAACACACGGGAGAAACCATTTCAATAAAGCCAGTGTGAGAAGAACTTCAATAGAAATACAGGTAGTCCTCAGTTTATGACTGCAATTCATCCCAAAATTTCTGTTGCTAAGCAAGATAGTTATTAAGTGACTTTTGCCCCATTTTACTACTTTTCTTGCCGCATTCGTTAACTGAATCTTGTACCCTAATCCTAAGTATCTTTTAGGTTAAAAAAAAAATTCCACAGCATTATTAGAGGTTATCTGATATCTCTTGCCTCAATATTGGCCGAAGTATCTTGACCTAGCCCTTTTTCTGGCTGTTCGACTTTTTCCATCCCTGCTTGTCTGAGGAAGGCTTCAGTGAGAAGTTTGATTGCTGCACTCAGGATGTTAGTTGATGCTTACAAAGTCTTGCAATCTTTGAGGGCCAAATTTCCTTCCTTTAGCAGCTAAGATTTGTTTTCCTTCACAGTGCTTAATGAGTCCGTTTGTCAGAGGTTTTTTTTTAAGCCATACCCAGTTTGAGCTGAAAACATCCATCAAAAGTACTGGATTCTAGACAATTTACGTTTTCTGTCGCCGAATAAGGATTGTGGAGATGTTTTATTTTGAAAAAATATCCAAGATACAAAAGTGAAACATAATGTGCAAATTCTTTCTTTGCTTTTGTCTTGTACTAGATCTATAGTGTAGTAAACATCCAAACAATGTGTAAGTTTTTTCTATGTTTTGTTTTCTTATAATAGATTTTTCGTATATTTGTACTATACAATGTTCTCTATAATATACTATTATTAATATGCTATTATACAATATATTATTGTTCATATACTATATAACCAGCGATTGGATTCAAATAATTTAACCACCAGTTCTCTGCCCTAATGACCGGTTGGGTAGGCGTGACTGGGTGGTCATGTCACTGGGTGGGCGTGGCCAAATCAATGTCACTCACATTGCAGGGTGCCTCTCCTTGCCCAACCTCCTCACCTCTCCTAGCCGCTCCCCTCAAACATCTCAACATATCTATAGTTCTGTAAAAATTTTCATCTTTTTTCAACTTGATTAGCTGCAGCCTGCTGATATATAAAAGGACTTGGAATAAATAAATAAACCAAAGTTTGGTGCTACTTTCATTTATTTCATACCATGTGCTCTGCCATACTATAAACCTCTTAGATCCAGCAATGTATTACACCACCTTTAGTTATATAAATGTACTGAAATGCTCCTATAATTGCTGATCAGACGTATTACTGTGTGGAAATGTGGGGGCATTCCTCCGTAGTGAATTGACAGTAACATTTCTCCAATCTAACCCAAGCAATCACAATAAAGAAGCAACAAATATGATGGAGCTGATTCCTGGCAACTGTTTAATGAGATTTTATTATTTAGTATAAACTGAAATTCAGTTTATTTTTAAATAGTTCATTTGGTTTTCACTGTGTTCCAATATTAAATTTTAATTACACTCCTTTGAGGAGAGGCAATCTCTAAGTTTCCATGAATGTGTAACCAAGCATCCATCCATCATCTTTGGGATTTCTATGGAATATCTTCGCTGGGTGTGATTATAATTAATTCCTTTACTTAAAAATCACTTGTAAAGGAATAAGAATCTGCAGAAGGCAAATGCATACATGCTTTAAATAAAAACCTACAATTTATTTGCAACCTTTGTTATTCATATGACAAAGGGTTATGTATAATTTAAATAAATACTTGCATAATTCTTCCTGGACAAGGAGTTGAGCAAAATAAAACAAGGTGACTCTATATCCTAAATAGAAGATTGAAACCTGAATACAGATTATGGTAATAACAAATGAATTTGTAATGGCACAAATACACTTCTGCCTGGAGGAAATAGACTATCACTGACTCAATGTTTACAGTTATCAAAGTTGTTTACCCAAAGAACATTTAAAATGTTCTTTCTTAACTGAAATTTTTGCATGTAGACATTTGCTGGAAAAATGTCACAATCCAAATACTAATATTCTTTATTATGGCCCAAAGAATTTGATTTGATATCATTTATGCTTTCCAGGCAAAAACAATATTAATTGCCTCAATGTTATTTTAGAAAACAGATCATACATTCAATATTACCTTCTGCCAGGTAAAGGTCAACTGAGCCAAGTAGGGCATCCAATCTACTTTTCTTCATAGTCCAAGGTTTCATTTTATACATCTGATAATGGGGGGAAAAGAACAAACTATAGTTTATGACTTAAGATACCTTGAATCCTCAAGCCAAGGAAAACTGATGTCAAACTTGTGTTGAGTCTCTGTGGCGCAAGGGATTAACATGTATGGCTGTTAACCAGAAGGACGGTAGTTCAAGCCCATCCAGGGACTGATTAGTTGAACAGACAGCTCCAGGTTCTTGCAGAAGCCCTTTACAAGAGGTGAGGATTTGGCAATCTCATCAAGACAGAATGCAGAACAAACTTCTAGGCAGTCTTTCTGAAATCAGCTGTCTAACTTTCCAAGAACTGAACATTTGCTGACAGCCACATCCACTGAAATAGGAAATCCCTGATAAATCAGTCTCTCTCTCCCAAGTGAAAGCTCCAAGCTGCACATATGACCCAGAGATGGGTTGCAGCAGGTTCTGACCAGTACTGGAGAACTGGTAGCAGAAATTTTGAGTAGTGCAGAGAACCGGTAGTAAAAATTCTGACTGGCCCCCGCCCCTTTTATTCTCTGCCTCCTGGGTCCCAGCTGATCATGAGGAAATGGGGATTTTGCAGTAACCTTCCCCTGGATTGGGGAGGGAATGGAGATTTTACAGTATCTTTCCCATGCCACGCCTGTTTTGCTTTTAGTTTCTTTTGCTAGTCCTCTGCTAGTGAAAATGCCCTCCTCGGCTCCATTTTCACTGGCAAAGGGCTCTAGGAGGTTGTTGCCGCCAAAAATAGGGCCCAAGGTGGCTGGGCAGAGCCCCTGAGCTGCGTTTTCACTGGCAGAGGCACTGTGGGCCGGTCCTTCGCTGTTACCAGAGCAGCCCCATGGGTCAGATCTAAGCACCCCGCAGGCTGGATTCAGCCCGCGGGCCTTGAGTTTGACACAACTGATATAGAGTTTAGTTTGCCTCTTTCTCTCTCTTTCTGCCAAGTTAGAGATTCATGAGAATGAAAGTAACTTCAGTGTGGTCACATTGCAAATAAACAAGCAAGGAAAAGCAAAGGTTTATTGATAATCAAAATAAAACCTAATTTTTTTATTTTTTTATTTATTTTTTTTTTGCTTTAATTTATATCCCGCCCTTCTCCGGAGACTCAGGGCGGCTTACAATGCGTTAAGCAATAGCCTTCATACTTTTGTATATTTATAAAGTCAGCTTATTGCCCCCACAATCTGGATCCTCATTTCACCTACCTTTGAAAGGATGGAAGGCTGAGTCAACCTTGAGCCTGGTGAGATTTGAACTTGCAGTAATTGCAAGCAACAGATGTTAATAACAGTGTTTAGTCCACTGTACTACAGGCTCTAATAAATATGAAATTAAGAAAAATTACTTCAGAAAATAACTTCAGTTTCTGACAGACAGAGGTAAGGAGAAGCAGCTCTTGGATGTTGTTAGATCGGGCAAGTGAGGAGCCAGGAGCCAGGTCGAAGTGAACAACAACTCTTTAATAGACAGAATCCAGCAAATGTACAGTAGGACAGCTCTTCTTATATAGCTTCTTACCCAGGGTGCTAGCCAATAATCATCGAGCTTTTTCCCCGCTTAATTTTCCCTCCAAAATTAGATACATAACAGATGTGGAGATCATTATACTACCAAATCAAGGAAATTTATTTGGTCAAAGGCCTATTATTTGAGAAACACATCACATATACATATATCAATGCATCCTATATGAAAAAAGCTTCAGGATGAAGAATTGCTCTCACAAAATAAGCCAGAATGAGGGGAAGCCCATCAAATGCATGTTCAAAAACATATTTTCAAGCATATTTTTGCCCTAGCAATGGCATGGTTATTCGTGAGACTTTATTAAATATTGTTTCGTTCTAACTAAAAATTAAAACCACATGAAAACTTTTGGAAAGGTTTATGCGGGAGGATACTTCAGACTCTCAGAGGAGCAGGACATTTTGAAACTATTCAAACATTATTCACTGATGCCTTTTTAGATACTTTTGGCCTGGATGATTGAGTCTTCATTTGCGTATTGCATTTTATTTTGGGGAAGCTCCTGCAATCAGTATGGTAGAGTTAGTACATTCCAACAACTCTCTGACTATGCCTAACTAAAAATTTTCATTTTGACTGTAGAAGTTACTTGGATGAGTAACAAAACATCAAATTTAATAAACTTTGGTCCAGTTATCATGATTTAAACTTTTTAGATACTTTTGGCCTGGATGATTAAGTTTTCTTTTACATATTGCTCACTGAAGGTTCTGGATCAAACAGGTGAAAGGGCATCAATTTTGATTTTGTAATCATGTCGATTTTTTCATAATAGAAGACTGACAAAATTAGACAGGTGGTACTTAAAAGGAGTTTTGATATATAAAGAAATGGGCTGAAAGAAGCAGAGCAAAAATGAGAAGTTACAGCCATTATTTTTAAATTGCTTCTTAACTCTATTTCCCCATTTCTTTATTTCATTAATGTAGATAAATCTTTTTGTTCTTCTTGCACTGTCACTTCCAGATCCAGTCTAATCTCTTCAAACTAGGGAAGTCTTCATTTCTTTTGGCTAGAAAAAATACACCTTCTTTTACTCCAAAGGTCTTAAGGTTCCTACTCATATTTCCTACAGTGTATTCCCAATTGAACACTTAAATAAAACTATTTTTGTCTTTTTTTTTTTTTGCCTCATGGTATTTGAGCCTTATGTTTACTTTTCAACATTTGACTTTCCTAGTTTTGCAATTCCACCTTTTCTCCAGCCACACATGAGATTTCAATCTTCCATTCACCATTTCTCCATCATGGCACCTTGTTTTGAGGGAAAATTTCCTAAAGGTCCACAAGTTTCAGCTCTCTCTCCATTTTGGAACTTGATTTTTGGGGGGATGCCTTTTTTCCTCAGGATTGTTTCCTCAGGATTATTTTTATTATTGCAGGCTGCCTCTTGGTGCTTCCAACTCTCCTTGGCTGCCTAGAATCATGAATTTGAAAAGGGAGCTGTAATAATTGAACTCACTAAAGAAAGTCAATACAAATCTTAACTTTCCTAAGGCATATTTTTCCTCCCTGTATCTCTGCCAGCCCCCATATCTTCCATCACTTCAGGGCTGAGTTTGCCAACAACCACAAGACAGAAGCTTGTCTTTCAAAGAAAGGCTTTGTTTCTTGTGTTTTGACTGCCCTGCCATTTCTGACAGGATTTTTGCACCTACAGACCCTTCAGCAGAGAAGCTGCTCTTGAAGAAAGCGGCTTTTGAGTCTCCACAGAGATTTCCTCACTGTTGGCAAGACCACAGATGGTTCTTAGACATTAAAAAGAGGAAAATCTTAAAACTGCCGCCTGCTGGAGATGACACGGCCTTTCTAGGCAGTCAATGTTATTAGAGGGACACTTTTCTGCTAGTGATAATGCCCATCATCCGAGTCCCACATGGAAATGATGATGCCCTGCGTGTCCTTTGGAATCGCCCGCAGGATCCTCCAGGAGGCTCCCTCGGTAGCCGTTGGAAGAGCCGGCCAGAGCCCCCTCCCGCTTTCGAAGAAAACTGAGCATGCGCATTCTTCTTTTCCCCGTCACAAGTGTTCTCCGTGCCTCCCCCCCCCTTTTTTTTTTTCACCCCCAGAAAAGGCTGGGAGCGCATCTGGCTTTTCCACCGTGTCCGATCCGGCTCCCCTTCGCTGTGAGCCTTGGTTCTGAGTTTCTCCAGAAGTCCAAGAGTTTGCAGGGAAATCTTCCACGGATGGAAATCCAGACGTTGTTACTGGAGGCGTGCATGGCGACCTGCAAAACTTCATCAGGTTCGGAGTTATGGGAAAGGGAGATCCCGTGGTCCCATGTTCCCCTGCTCACCCGCACTCCCATCTCCCGGTCCATGCACGGGCCAGGCAGAGGAGAAAGCAAAGCTCCGGACCATCGCGCTGCTCCTTTTGAGGGGATCAGGATCGCAGAAACCAAGGGATCCATTTACCCTCCATTTCATTGGGAAAAACCCTGCAAGGGGGCGCGGGAGAGGGTTGAGAGAGATCGGCTTTGCAAAACAAATTTCTACTTACAAATCAGTCTTGACTCCTGGACAATTTCCTGCAAATTTCTTGCCTTGTTTTCCGAAGGGGATTCCTTCTCCTCCTCTTTCCTAGGCTGAGAGAAGCGCCCTGCCGAAGTCGCTCCTGCTGGCTTTGCATGCAAGGCTGCAACTCCGCGTGCAAGAAATTGGATATAAGGTGTGCAAGGACTGGAACTCGGTTTCCTGGTTTCCAGCCCTTTCACCACCAACTGGTTCTTCCAGCACATCACAAGATCCTCCACATCATGTTAATGCATGGATGGTTTATTCATTGAGATATTCGTTCTGTATGCCCTAGGATCATGGTTTCTTAATTCTGCCTTCTGGAGTTTCCCCAGGAGTTTCGGCCAGGAGTTTGATGGGGTTCTCATCTCCATTGCTGTTTGTGAACTAAGATTTATGATTCCGATTGTGCAAAGGTTGCTTTTTACTTTGCAAGCAGCCATCGAAATTATTAGTATAAATAATAAGGCACTAGAATTCCCAAACTTTTCTAAATGTATTTATCCAATATTTTCCGTCCTTGTTTGAAGCTGATCTAAAAGGGTGATCCTGAATTTACTGCAGTAGTCAGTCTTCCTAATAAGATACCCCCTCCTTACAGATATTGCTGGATTTCTATCTCTTTTTTGGGGGGAGAAGGAAGAGGTTACTCAGTATTCAGATTTGTTACCATATTGAGCAGGCTGTGTTTTCCATTTCAGATATGTAAACTGGAAATCTTTCCTGGTTCCTCTAGAGTCCAATGGCCTTCAGAGATTTGGCTAGACCTCTTGTGATTAATAAGGCCTTTGGAAATTCATCAGTCCATTTTGGAAATGAGACCAGAGACTTAGAGACCAGAGAGAAGATGGAAGGACAAAGCCCAGCAGATGCAAGAATTGTAAAAGGCCCTCCAGCTGCTCAGCCTTGGAGCTGTGGGAAGAATGGGGTAAATTCTGGGCAGAAGAGCCAAGAAGAGGAAGCCAAAAGTTTAGAGATCCAATATTGTCACTTCAGGAAAGTGCAGTTCCAGGAGGGGAAGAGTCCCCGAGATGTTTGCAGTCAGCTTCACCGTCTTTGCCATCAGTGGTTGCAGCCAGAAAAACATACAAAGGCTCAGATGCTGGACTTGGTGCTCCTGAAGCAGTTCCTGGCTGTCCTTCCCCCAGAGATGGAGAAATGGGTGCGGGAGTGTGGAGCGGAGACCAGTTCCCAGGCGGTGGCCCTGGCCGAAGGCTTCTTGCTAAACCAGGAGGAGGAAAAGAGGCAAGAAGAGTTGCAGGTGTGAGAATGTAGTCTTAGCAGCTCTATAGAGGAGATCTCTGAATTTGTGAATTCCTTTTTTGCAGTTTTCTGGAATTATTAACTCCTGTGGCCTGTTGTTCCATTATTCTTCAAGAAAATATGTTTGGAGCAATTTTTCCATTCTGTTTCGAGTTTCAGCAATGGACAGTGGGGTCTGCTGGTTTAAAGGTGCAATATGATAATTCATTTCTATTTCTGTGCTCTTTCTTTGTTTCTCCTATCACATCATGTCCAGAAATCCTTGGAAGCTGTGACTGAGTATCCCAAGGGGAGGAAAGATTCATTCAGATCTTCTCGAGAGCTGAAGTTCAGGGATCAAAGTCAGGGCACCATGCCAGGTAAGAAAAGCTCTTTCTGTGAGATGTAACATTTAGCTGATTCTTTTGCCTGGAACCTCTCTCTTTATAACAAATCTGCTTCCACTGTTTTTCCCTCTCTTACAGAGAGTAGAAAACTGTCCTTGGAAATTTTAGAATCACCTCCTCTTTGTGGTGTGGCTGAAGAATTGGCTGAACCACTATTTCAGGTAAGGAGGAAAAAGATTGGAAAATGTCCATAAATCTTGGATGGATTTCATTTTGTTCTAGAATTTATTATAATAAATTGCTGTTTCTAAGCAATATGAATCTGACATCTGGTTATTCTAAACTGATATGCAGCCTTGCCTATTTCTCCCTTCTGAGGGGATCCTTTGTGAGTTTGCTTTTAAAAACATTTGGGACAACCGTGACCTGGTGACTGAGAATCTCCATAGACATTATTACAAGTGATCTCATTCTGAATTCTGAAGAAGAGGCCTATTTTGTTCACTGGATCTCTCAATTGGTGGAAGAAAACTGACAAATTATTCTTGGGATTATCTGTTAAAAGGAAAACTTGTTCCCTTGTTTAGGATGTTTTGTCTTTTGAGGATGTGGCTGTGCATTTCTCCAAGGATGAGTGGTCTCAACTGGACGCTGACCAAAAAGCTCTCCATGGAGAAGTCATGCTGGAGAATTCCAGGAATTTCTTTTCTCTGGGTAAGAATCCCTATCTTTGCTCAGAAACATAGAAACGTCATGGGGCGGGGCGGCTGAGATGTGACTACTGATAAAACATCACTTATTTATTTATATCCTTCCTTTATTTTTTGGAAATAATAAAGGCAGCGGAGAAGCCCAATATTCCTTCCTCCTGCTGTTTTCCCTACTACAACCCTGTGACACGGGTTGAGCTGAGAGAGACTGGCCCAAAATCTCCCAGCCAGCATTCATCCCTAAGGCTGAACTATACTTACAGCTTCTAGCCTGGTGCCTTAACTGTTTCACCAAACTGAATTTATAGAAGAAGGAAATTTATTGAAAGAAATATTGGAAAACTGCATAGCTTTCCTTGTTACATAAAGTAATTGGTTTTTTGAATGCTTTCTGCTGATAAAATACAACATTTCATGCCATAGAAGATATTAAGGAGAATCTGAGGGACAGACTACAGATAGGTGTGATGTCATCTCTTGAGCAAGATTCTGCCTACCAGGGTTCGGTATTCATATCTGAATCTGGTCAATGGGTGCCCAATGGGCCTGAGATCCTATAACCAAGACTTTCATTTTCATTTTTCTTTTTGAAGGCTTTAATGGGCAAGAGAATAAGAATTGCAAGGAGGAATGCCAATCCATCCATCAGAAAAGGGAAAAGGGGAAATTTGCAGATCAGATGCAACCAAAGAGTGATGAAACAAAGCAATCACAAAGTGGAATTAAAAAAGGCTTTCCTCGGGTCAGTTGGCTTCCTAACCGTACAAACATCGATATGGGAGAAAGAGCATATCAGTGCATGGAATCAGGAAAGAGCTTTAATAAATCCGATCATCTCATTTCTCATAAAAACACACATTCAGAAGAGAAACCATATACCTGCAGGGAATGTGGGAAGACTTTCTGTAACAATGACTCCCTTAGAACTCACAAAAGGAATCACAAAGGAGAACAACTTTATAAATGCATGGAGTGTGGAAAGAGCTTTACTTGTACCAGTAGTCTTAATTCCCACAAGAGGATCCACACAGGAGAGAAGCCATATCAATGCATGGAGTGTGGAAAGGCTTTTAGGCAGAGTAGTCATCTTAATTGCCACAAGAGGACCCACACTGTAGAGAAGCCATATCAATGCATGGAGTGTGGAAAGAGCTTCAGTAGGAAATACGCTCTGATTCACCATAAAGCTATCCATACAGAGAAGAAGCAATATCAATGTATGAAGTGCAGAAAAACCTTCTGTTATTATGACTCTCTTATAAGACATCAAAGGATTCACAAAGGAGAAAGACCTTATAAATGCATGGAGTGTGGAAAGACCTTTATTTATAGCAGTAGTTTTAATAGACACAAGAGGATCCACACAGGAGAGAAACCATATCAATGCATGGAGTGTGGAAAGGCTTTTAGGCAGAGTAGTCATCTTAATTGCCACAAGAGGACCCACACTGTAGAGAAGCCACATCAATGCATGGAGTGTGGAAAGACTTTCTGTTATAATCATTCTCTTATAAGACATCAAAGGAGTCACAAAGGGGAAGAACCTTATAAATGCATGGAGGGTGGAAATACCTTTCATAAATCCGAGCATCTTATTTCTCATAAAAAGACACATTCAGAAGAGAAACCATATACTTGCAGGGAGTGTGGAAAGACCTTCTGTAATAATGACTCTCTTAGAACTCATGAAAGGAATCACAAAGGAGAACAACTTTACAAATGCATGGAGTGTGGAAAGAACTTTACTCGTAAGAGTAATCTTAATTCCCACAAGAGGATCCACACAGAAGAGAAACCATATCAATGCATGGAGTGTGGAAAGAGCTTTAGTAGTAAATATACTATGATTCACCATAAAAGCATCCATAAAGAGGAGAAGCCATATCAATGCATGGAGTGCAGAAAAACCTTCTGTTACAATCGTTCTCTTATAAGACATCAAAGGAATCTCGAAGAATCACACAGGAGAGAATTCATATAAATGTGTGGAATGTGGAAAGGGCTTTAAGTGGAATTCTGCTCTCACCTCCCACAAAAGGATCCACACAGGAGAGAAGCCATATCAGTGCATGGAGTGTGGAAAGACCTTTGCTTTTACCAGTCGTCTTGATTCCCACAAGAGGATCCAAGCAGGAGAGAAGCCATATAAATGTGTGCAATGTGGAGAGGGCTTTAAAAAGATCTATGATCTCATTTCCCATGAAAGAATCCATACAGGGGTGAAAACCATATGAATGCATGGAGTGTGGAAGGAGCTTTGCAAGAAATAACGCTCTTTACTTGCCATAAAGTACTTGCTATTTACTTTACACGCAGGCGAAACCATATCAATAAAGGAAGTGTGGGAAGATGTTCAATAGAAATACAGGTTTATGCCTGCAGTTTGAGCCCAAAATTCCCATTGCTAAGCGAAACAGTTGTTAAGTGAGTTGTGCTCCATTTTATGACATTTTTGCCACATATGTTAAGTCAATCATTGCAGTGATTAATTTAGTAACACTATTGTTAAGGGAATCTGGCTTTTCCATTGATTTTACTGATCAGAAGGTTACAAAAAGTGATCACATGACCCAAAGACATTGCAACCATTATAAATGGGGTCAGATGCCAAGCATTTGAAGTTTGATCAGGCTACCATTGATGCTGCAGTGGTCGCAAGTGTGAAAAATGGTCATGTCACTTTTTTTCAGTGCTGGTGTAACTTTGAACAATCACTAAATGAAGTGTTGTAAATTGAGGACTAGATATAGTTGACTAAAATCCCATGCAAATACCATCTAAGTAATAATCAAAATAAATACTAGCTTGCATAATTTGCCTTTCTAGTGGAAACCTGAACAAAATGGATCCCTAATCCTGCTTGTGGTTTTTCTAAGATCAAATAGTCTGTATATAGAAATACTAGCTGAATAACCATGCTGTGCTAGAAAACTATGATCGGGCTTGATAAATCGACACTTACATCTTGAAAATTAATGAGTAGTTATAATCGTCCTCTCCTCTTCCCTTCTCTCCCTCAGCCTTGCCCCACAGAAGCCTCCCCTATCCTCTCCCCTCCTCTCCCTCAGGCTTGCCCCACAGAAGCCTCCCCTATCCTTCTCCCCTCCTCTCCCTCAGGCTTGCCCCACAGAAGCCTCCCCTATCCTCTCCCCTTCTCTCCCTCAGCCTTGCCCCACAGAAACCTCCCCTATCCTATCCCCTCCTCTCCCTCAGGCTTGCCCCACAGAAGCCTCCCCTATCCTCTCCCCTTCTCTCCCTCAGCCTTGCCCCACAGAAACCTCCCCTATCCTCTCCCCTCCTCTCCCTCAGGCTTGCCCCACAGAAGCCTCCCCTATCCTCTCCCCTTCTCTCCCTCAGGCTTGCCCCACAGAAGCCTCTCCTATCCTCTCCCCTCCTCTCCCTCAGGCTTGCCCCACAGAAGCCTCCCCTATCCTCTCCCCTCCTCTCCCTCAGGCTTGCCCCACAGAAGCCTCCCCTATCCTTCCCCTCCTCTCCCTCAGGCTTGCCCCACAGAAGCCTCCCCTATCCTATCCCCTGCTTGCTGCTGTGAAAATAAAACTGAAACAAACTTCTCTGGTTGTGTTTTGCATTTGGAACAGATTTCTTTTTCAGGTGGGGAGGGGGAGTACAACGCCTTAGCATCAGAGTGTGTTAATAATAATATAGGAAATACTAATGCTCTGATGGTCATTTCTAAAAATCCTTTCTTAGTGAGCACCTAGAAGCCAAGAGGAACATAGGCGGCAAATTTCAAGTTTGTAGGCTTTACTGTTCTGGAGATTTTGTGATAATGCGTGAGTGGCATTTTGCTTTTTTATATATATAGATTCCTGATTGTTTTTCATTATATTGCTTCAAATATTCCAAAATATCAAACCCAATTAATCATGTTCTTCAACAAATCTTTTAGGTAAAAAAAAGAAAACCACAACTTTATTAGAGAGTATCTGATCCCTCTTGCTGTTGCCTCAGTATTTCTGTTCTGCTATTCAGCCAAGTAGCTGGACCTAGCTCTTTTTCTGACTGTTCTACCTTTCCATCGCTGCTTGTCTTTTGAAGGCTAGAATGAGAAGTCTGATTTCCGCATCCAGAATGTTGGCTGCTGCTTGCAAAATCTTGCAGTTTGTGAGTGCCATATTCCTTCCTTTAGCAGCTATTTGTTTTCATACACAATACTTAATAAGTCCCAGGAATCAGAACCGATTCCACCACTGCCCCCAATTTGTCATGGGTTCTTTTTCAACCATGCCTAATTTGATTCACGTGAACTCAAAAGATCCATCAAAAGTATGAATTCTAGACAATTTAAATTTTCTGTCTCCTATAAGAGTTGTGGAAATGTTTTATTTTGAAAAAATATCCAGGATACAAAAGCGAAACATACAAACCACATGTAAGTCCTTCCTATATTTGTTTTCTTATACTATTTATCCCCCCAAATAAGACATCCCCTGATAATAAGCACAATTGGGCTTTTGAATGCATGGCAATAAGGCCAAGCACTTATTTCAGGGTTCAAACAAAAAAAATAAGACAGGGTCTTATTTTCAGGAAAACACGGTAGATATTTAGTATATTGATACTTTACAATGTTATCTATATATATAAAAGTGAAACCACTCACGCATCATCACAAAATCTCCAGAACTGTAAAGCTTACAAACTTGAAATTTGCCACATATGTTCCTCTTGGCTTCTAGGTGCTCACTAAGAAAGGATTTTTAGAAATGACCATCAGAGCATTAGTATTTCCTATATTATTATTAACACACTCTGATGCTAAGGAGTTGTACTCCCCCTCCCCACCTGAAAAAGAAATCTGTTCCTCTGCCTCCCAAGTACCAGCTGATCGGGACAAAATGGGGATTCTGTAATAACCTTCCCCTGGAGTGAGGAGGAAATAGAGATTTTACAGTATCCTTCCCCTGGAGTGGGGTGGGAATGGAGATTTTACAGTATCCTTCCCCTGCCATGCCCACCAAGCCATGTCATGCCCACCCACAGAACCGGTAGTAAAAATTTTTGGAAACCCCCCCCCCCCCGGATTAATCATCCACTAAACCCTAGTTTACCTGAGGGCCCTGCAGCCAGGCCATCAATGTCCTGACAACTGCCTGGCCTTGTGGCGAAGGCTCCAGAAACCCTAACCAAGACCTCACATGGCCACCAGACTTCTTCTCTTTCCCGCCACAATGGAGCAAGAAGCTGAGCAACGCACGTGGGGTCCTGGACCGGGCTACTGGAGCTGCCACAAGACGAGGCAGTTGTCAGGATGTTGATGGCCTGGTTGCGGGCCGCTCGGGTAAGCCAGTGCGGGGCATGGGGGGGGCAGCTCCGCACCCCCTCCCTTGCTTCATCCTCCACCCTACATTACCATGCTGTGGCCGCCGCACCAGTGCGTTGCTCATCTTCCTGCTCTGTTACAGGGGCATGAGAAGAGGCGAAGAATGAAGATGAATGAAGCAAGGCTGTGGAGGAGGGGTGGGAGACAAAGTAAGGCAGGTGCTACAGAGCTGCCCCACCCGCCCCATCCCGGCTTACTTTAGGGCCCTTCATCCAGGCCACCCAGGCCAAACCCTCACCCACCCGCCCAACCCCAGGGCAGCCACATCCCTTCACCAACCTGCTTTCCGGCTCCGTTCACTGCTGCATGCAGGGCAACAAAAGTAGTCTGTGGGATTACGGTAAAAAAACTAGTTCAGATGTTCCAAATTCTCAAAAAAAAAAAAAGATCTCTTCTTTTTACCATAGTTCCACAGACTACTTTTGTTGCCCTGCAGATGGTGGTGGCGATCTGGGCCCCTGTGCTCATGCACCCACCGCCTCATGTGCGCACGCGTGCACACCAGGTTGGCGTGGGCCGGACTGAAGTGATGCGGAACAGTTCCTTACAGTTTCCATGATGGCTGCCGGATCTGACCTCATCACGGGCTGCATCTGGCCCCCAGCCCTTGGATTTGACACCCCTGTCCTAAGCCTTCACTTCCCATCCTGTGACTCTGTCAGCCCTCTTTTTTAGGGCTGAGTTTGCCAACAACCACATGACGCAACCTGGGCTTCAAAGAGAGGCTCCTATTCCTTTTCAGCCCCCACAGAGATTTTTTCAATATTTACAAGATCACAGATCATTCTTAGGCATTTTTTTAAAAAAGGAAAGTCTAGAAATTGCTGCCTGCTGCAGAGAGGCAATGTCACAGGGAGCCTTTCCTTATACTCCAATGCCCATCATACCGGCCCCCATGAAACATGACGATCTGGCTTAGTCCCTAGCAGGGTCCATCTGACGTTGCACGCAGGATCCACCAGGGGGCTCCCCAGGTAGCCTTTAGAAAGCCAAGGGGGCCCTCACCCTCTTCAGGAGGAAGCTGAGCATGCGCTCTTTAACCACCTCCGAGACCCTCGCGGGGCATTTTGCAGAGAAGGCTGAAAGCGCGTCCGCCCTTTCTAACAGTGCCCGATTCTGCTCCCCCCCCCCCCCGCCCCTCCCTCGCTACGAGCCTTCGGCCGAGCCTTTCCAGCAGTCCAAGAGGCTTGAAAGGAAGCCTTGCACGGAGGGAGATCAAGACCTGACTCCGGAGTTGAGTAAGTGGGGAGGGACTTTTTCTTCCACGGGCTGGACCGTCCGTGGAGAGACGCAAAACTTCATCAAGTTCGGAGTCCTGGGAAGTGGGGAGCCCCTTGTCCCATGTTCCCCTGCCGCCCCTGTGCATGCATGCACGGGCCAGGCAGGGAAGAAATCAAAAGCTACGGTCCCGCTGCGTTGCCTCCAGGAGGAAAATCGGGACCGCCAGAAAAGTCGGAGTCATTCAGGATTAGGCGAAAAGTGAGAAACCTCTTTCTGGGAGATGCCTGAATCAAAATATCATGTTAGGTCGTAGCTGGTTTATTGATCCGGGTATTATTTGTTTGTTGATTGTCATTTTTCAGCTACTCATAGCGGTTTGGGCCAGGATTCTGCTATCTAAAGCTATACTGGAGTTCTGCTATCTAAAGCTATACTGGAAATTCAAATATTGATTGATTTACCTATTAAATCGATTTTAAGCAGCCGTCAAAATTATTTGAATAAGTAGGAAATAGAAATCCAAAACATGTTTTAAATTTATGTTCTTGATAGACGTTGAGCCAGACTCTGTTACTACAGAACTTTTTCCATACCTAGATATGTTAGTCTACCAACTAGTAAAATTTCCTCCCTCCCAGGTATTGTGGGGTTCATAAGAATTTCTTATTTGGGTTTTTTTATTTTTTTTATTATTATTTTGATTTATATGCTGCCCTTCTCCGGAGACTCAGGGCGGCTTACAGTGCGTTAAGCAATAGCCTTCATACTTTTGTATATTTTATACAAAGTCAGCTTATTGCCCCCACAAACTGGGTCCTCATTTTACCCACCTTAGAAAGGATGGAAGGCTGAGTCGACCTTGAGCCTGGTGAGAATTGAACAGTAATTGCAGGCAGCTGGATGTTAAATGCTGCCTCAGTAGGAGGCATTAGCCTCCTACGCCACTCAGGTTTTTGTGGATGTTCAGTTGTTAAGTTGATCAGCCTGTATTTCTGGAAGTTTCTTTTTCCATTTCAGATTTATAAGTTGGAAATCTTTCCTGCTTCTCTTGGAATCCGAAGTATCTTGTGTGGGAAGAGGGCTGAATGGCCTTTAGAAGATTTGGCCAGATGTCTTCTGATTAGTAAAACTTGGGAGATCCATCTCACAATTTTGATCTGGATTAGAGACCAGAGAGAAGATGGAGGGCCAACACCAACCAGATGCAGGAGTTGGAAAAGTCCCTCCAGTTTCTCAGCCTTGGAGCTG